TGAAATTTAACTCTAAAAACCCACTTGTTTCCAACAATGTTCATATCAAAACTCTTATGCACTAATGTCCAAGTATTGTTCTTGACAAGAACATCATACTCACTTTGCATAGCTTCTTGCCAAGCTTTACTAGCTAAAGCCTCCTAAACTGTAGAAGGTTTAGGCTGAACCTCTGTATTTCTAGAAGTGATAAGGGCAGTTCTCATGTTACAAGTTACCTTTGCTCTAGTGATCATAGGATGTTGATTCTCAACACCTTCAGAACCAATGGATAGGGCAGGAAATTGTGAAGGATCTAAATCAATTACAAGTGAGCACGTGGGAAGTTTGTGAGTGATATGTGGGGATGATGTGTTTAGAAAGTGAGAAGGGTCTATGTCAACAACAAGAGAACGATTAGGTAAAGATGTGGATGGGATAGATGAGTGTAAAAAAGGTAAGGAAACTGTATTTGGAACATATTCAGAATTGAAAATATTACAGCAGGGGCAAGAGTGGGATTTGGAGAACAAGAGGATAAGATTAGAGCTACCTTGCCAATTGTTGGAGTAAGAGTTGGTTGAGAACAGTTTTCTACAGAAGTAGCTGCGGCAGGAGCTATATAATTTGAAGGTAAGTTATGAGCAGCTATAGCAGGAGCTATATCATTTGAAGGTAAGTTGTGTATTGTATGAACAAAAGAAATTGAGAAACAGGGTTATTTTGAGCAGATGAAGGCTGAGGTGACAAATTGGATTTTGACTATGAATAATGACTAGAGAAGTTAAAATTTCTAGCAAATGGAAACTCTTCTTCATGAAACCTAACATTAGGAGTGATAAACAGCTTTCTAGTGGGACTTAAACACTTAAAACCCTTATGCACAAGACTATAACCTATGAAGACACATTTCAAAGTATGGAAACTAAATTTATGTTGATTAAAGTCTCTAATGTGAGGAAAACATGCATATCCAAAAACTTTGAGAGAAGAATAAAGGGGTAATCTATGAAACAAAGTTTGATAGGTGACACAAACTATAGAACAGATGAAGGCATTCTGTTGATTAAAAATACTGCAGTTTCAAAGGCACACCACCAAAAATGCAATGGCATGAATGCATGGGCAAGTAGTGTTAAACTTGTTTCAACAACATGCCTATGTTTTCTCTCATTTATTCCATTTCGAGAATGAACATATGCCCATGAATGCCTAAACAGAATGCCATTTTGTTCAAGATTTGGAATTAGACCTTTATACTTACCACCTTGATCAGATTGTAAGCATTATAGTTTGTAACCAAATTGTCTTTCTGCCAAATGATGAAATTTAATAAAAACTTAATGAGTTTCAGCTTTAGTTCTTAGAGGAAAAAGCCAAGTGAACCTACTGAAATCATCTACAAACTGGACATAGTATCTATATCCTTCAAATGAGACTATAGGAGCAGGTCCCCAAAGATCATTATGTACTAAAGCCAAAGGTTCAATAGCTCTAGATGAAGAGGAGGGAAAACTATTTTTGTGCAACTTTCCAAGTTGACCAGCATCACAAAATGACATGGAGTGAGGAATTTTTTACTTTACTAAAGGATCACTTTAATTTGACTTATAATCTGACTGAAAACTTCAGTATGAGGATGGCAAGTCTTTTGTGCCAAGTTAAATTCTTTTCTAAACTCTTATTAGTTTGAATGTTCAATGCTAGTGCAGATTTAGGACTTAAACCAGAATCATGTATAAATGCAGGATTTAAACCAAAACTAGATTTGAAATACGTATCAGCCTTCAGGTTAGATTCACACAATGCAGTGTTCATATAAGATAATTCAGTAGAGGAATCAACATAGGGATGATTAGTATTTTTATTCTGAGCAGAGGAATTATTACACATACTCAAATGAGACTTACAATTGACATTAAGATTCTCAGAATTATTAGAGTCTTCTAACAGAGACTTATTACACAAAAATGAACTTGAACAGATTTTACTAGGCTAAGGTTGTAAGGCAGACACAAAAGATTTAACACCAACTGAGACAGACTGATCATTGCATTTTACAAGATAGGTAGAGGTAAGATTCAATTGATATAGTCATTCTTTAAGCTCTCCCTGCAAAAGGACTGTTTTGGTAACCTTGTCCTTAACAACACAACAATTAGAGTGAAACTCAACCACAACATTATTGTCTTTAGTAAACTTTGAAATACTAAGTAGGTTTTTTGTGATGTTAGGGACACACAAATTTTTTTTCAAATTGAGGCATTTAGATTAGAAGGAACTAGGTAATGATATAAAGCCAATATGAGAAATGTTTAGGAACTCACCATTGCCAACTTGTAATTGCCCAGCTCCCTCATAATTCCTGCTACTATGCATTTGATTTAGATATGAAGTGACATGATCAGTAGCCCCGGAGTCCATATACCAGGTTGGATCCAATGCAGTAGTCTGGTTTGCAGTCAATGGAACACCATTTGACAAGTAAGGAGCTACAAAATAAACTTGACTAGGTGAAAAAGACTGCTGATTAGGAACTTTGAACACTAAATTTTCACCATTAGAAGCCGATGAAGTAAGTTGTTAACCTCTGGAGAATTCTTGAGTAAAGTGTAATCCATGAGAGGAATGAGCAGGATTAGGTACAAATTGAGATTGATTCCCAGTATAAGAGTTACCAGTAGTAAAATTGTGCACCTATTGATTTCCAAAGTTACCAGATCCAAACCTACTGCCATGTCCAAAAGAATTGTGTGCAGGAAGAAAGTTTCCAGAATTTTTAGAATTGAAAGAGCTAGGAGACTCAAATTGTGGTGGAGATCCAAACTATGGAGGAGCTCTATTGTAAGTGGAGTTGTATCTATGGTAACATTAGACTGTTGTATGTCCTATCTTGATGCAGACTTGACATATAGGTCTTCCCTTAGCATTGCCTCTCCCATGACCTCTGTTGTAATTATTGAAACTAGATGGTCTGTAGGTATTAACCTGTGGTTCAAACTGTCCTAAATAAGAGGATGGATGAAAGTGACCAGGTGAACCAGCAAATCCAGAGGGTGGTATATAATAAGAGGAATAGGTCTGATCCGGCTGTGAAGTAGGTATTGTAGTTATAATAGAGGCAGGCACATAAGTATTAGTTCCGTTTGATGAGCTAGATATGCCTGACGAATTACCAGAATTACTGATTGCATGAAGATGTACTGAACTATTTAGGAAATCCACAGTGTTGAATTTTTCAATATGCATTTCATACTTTTGCAGCAAATATTGTGCTTCTTGCAACATAACAGAGTCAAATTTAGATCCAATTCTAGATGTTAAATTGACGACAACAACATCAAATTCTGGTCCTAATCCATCCAGAATATGTTGAAGTAAATCTTCATCCAAAACAACCTGACCACTGGAGTTCAAACTTTCGGCAATTCCTTTCATCTTTTTAAAGTAATCACAAACTATTAAATTTCCTTTTTGAGTATTTTGTAATAAACTTTTCGAATGTAGAGCTCTAGCCTTTGAATCACTAAAAAATTCATGTTCAAGTGTAAGTCAAGTGTCAGTAGAAGTCTGACATTTTGACACAAAGCTAAACATGCATTCTGAAATAGACGCTAATAACTAAGTAACAAGGAACTTATCAGTGCTTTTCCAAGCTAAATGAGTTGGATTAATACGCTGTCCAGTACTAGATTTTATCTCATCTTTTGACCTAGATTCAGTTGATTCAACTAAGATTTCATGCTCAAACACAATTAAAGGTTCTGGATAGGAGATAAAACCTATTAAGTGGCCATCAAGCTCATGTGCTCCTACTGCATAAAGAATTTGAGACTTCCAGAATCGGTAATTGTCTCAGTAATTATCTCGTGTGAGCTTCGGATGAACAACCTAGAGACTTATTGGAAAAGCTAAAGAGAAAGAAGTCAAGGAGCTCTGCATGACTGCGTTCAAGTTGCTGGTGGAATTGTTAGATGAAGAAAGATTCGCCATTGATGCTAGTCTATGGCTTTGATACCATGTAAATTTGAGAAAGATAAATTGAAGTTTCTAGAGAAAATCACAATTTCAATAGCTTTGTTTTCTAACTGAATGAATAGAGATTACATCTGAGATTTGTTCTTATAAAATTGAGAAAGAGTAAAGTGTACAACTAAGAAAGAGTAAAGTGAGAGAGTAAAGTGAACGATGACTTAGAATTAGAAAACGATTGTCACTTAGCATTTAGAAAGGGCCAAGCAAAAATGGCACCGTCTTGTCATTTTGTCGATATCAAGACTAGTTTTTTTCTTTGCCACTTGCATATGATGCTGGATTTGTAACAATAACTTACTGGTTTATTATCAAAAATTTATTAAGCAAGTTGTACTTGAACCCCCCAAATTATTAAAATGTTGATATGTTCGACAATGCATCTAATTATGTGTGTTTGATGTACGTTCTCTTCATTTCCAGCGAGCTTCTTCCATTCAAAATTCAAAATTCAAAATCTTGTCTCTTGGTTCTTGTTGACATTCTATGAATGCTGACAACTTATATGTTTCTTTTTTATGGTGATAGCTGTTAGAAGAAGGCGAGGAGGGAAAGGATCGTGCTACTTTGAGGTCAAAACTTGAACTCCTGGTGCAGGTTGTTTTGGCAACTTCTGTTTTAGTTAACTGTTTTATGTTTGAACATTACTATATTTTAAAGATCTGGAGTTGCTCTAGGAACTTGTCTTTATTAGGCAAAAGAAATGTTAAGTAAAGCTAAGTATAGTAGTTTGGGTTAAAGTGTAAAAAGTAAAAGTAGACTGGGGTTTATTGTAAGGACACCAATACGGTGTGTTTTGTACTAAGCACAATACGGCAGCGTTTTTATATCATCTTCCTGATATAAAAATGCAGCTTCCTCTGTTTTCTGCTGTAAGTAAAATCTGCAGTTTATTCTCAACTGCTTTTCACGAATTCTTTAATTCTTGTTAATTTTCTTTTCGAATCCAATCAAAATCTTCACGCTATCAGAGCTATAGACAGACGTCCATGGCCAATCTCAGTTCTGGATCCTTGAATTCTAGATCCAAGATAGTGAACGAGCTACCTAACAGTGCAAATGCGCTGAGTTCAGTTGCCCATTCTTCTCTTCCAACTCTATCAATCAAGCTTGGGGAAAGAAACTACAGTCATTGGAGATCCCAGGTGTTACCTGCGTTAACCTCCTATGCACTTGATGGCTTCTTCACAGGTGTGCATGTATGCCCTTCTATGTTTTTAACTGAACAAATTCAAGATTCTGAATGAATAATCAAGAAACCTAACCCTAAGTACTTTGATTGGAAAAAGACATATCAATTTCTAGTTAGCTGGTTAAATTCTTCCATTACCGAGTCTATGTTTAGACATGTTGCTAAGTGCGGTAATGCGTATGAAATTTGGAATACATTAGAGTTGCATTTTCAGTCTTTCTCAAAGGTGAGAACACTTCATTTGAGAAATCTATTGCAAAGCACTAAGAAAGAGTCTATGAGTGTTAATGAGTATATTTTGAAAATGAAAGAGTTAAGGGATGAACTAGTGGCTAGTGGAGTTCAAATTGGAGATGAGGAATTGTTGCTATACATTCTAGACGGTTTAGGTCCAGAGTTTGATGCAATGGTAGCTAATTTGGTGGCTAACAGTAGTACTGCCACTCTCCAAGAAGCACAAATACTACTCCACAAACATGAGATGAGAACTGAGAAGCAAAATAGTATATTGTCTAACTTTCATGGTATGTCATCTGCACTACTAGCCACAAAACAAGCTTCAAGTGATGTTGGAGGTGTGTCACAGTTCCAAATTCCTTTTGTACCACAATTCCAAAATACCAGGGCTGGAGGAGTTATACCTCATAATATTGGTTCTCCCTCTACTATTCAACCAACTACATCGTAGAACTCTAACCCTTCACCTATGTCTTCACAAGGAATGTTGAATTATCAACACCATGGAATTTACAACAACCCTCTAATGTAGCCATGTATTCTACCACCTTTCCTCATCTTGTTCCTACTCAATATCCTACTCCTGGTGCTGGTCAGTTTAAGAACAATGGGATGAGAGGCAGAGGTCAAGGCAGAGGGTACTTCAAGCCTCGTTTAATTTGTCAAGTATGTGGGAAAAATGGTCACTCAGCCTTGCAATGTTATCACCGCTTTGACTATAAGTATCAGTGGTTTATGAACACAAATCATGGTAACTACAGTCCTTCTTCAGCCCAGATAACTGCTTCTCCAGTCAGTAATACTCAATCATACTCAGGAAACTCACGTGATCCTAATGCTCCTGCTCAAGCTCTCTTTGCAGCAAATACTATAACACCCAAATCTTCTTCAAACTCTTTTGAAGGTTTTCATGATTTTTCTGCTGCTGGAATGCCTAGAAGTTCTCAACCAAGTTACAACACTCCATAATTTCGACCACACCCACCTCAAAATTACTCACCAGACCAGAATACAAACACTTTCTCAAACACTACCTCTTTGACACCTGGGTTCTCTCATGTTAAGGCTCCAGCTATTGCTACTCCACAAACACTCACGGATCAGTCCTGGCACATGACCTCTAGAGCCTCAAATCATATGACTGCTGATACAAATAACATGCTGATGAAATCTAACTACCAGGGAGGGTCCCAAGTACAAGTTGGTAATGGTCAGTCCATTCCCATTACCCATACAGGTACATTACTGCTACCCTCTACTGATTCAAATAGAATTTTTCAACTTCATAACATCTTGTGTGTTCCTGGTATTGCTAAGAACCTATTAAGCATATCTCAAATCACTAAAGATAATCATGTGATAGTTGAAATTCATGCTGACCATTGTTTGATAAAGGATAAGCACAGCAAGGCTATTCTTCTTCAAGGGAAAGTAAAGGATGGTCTCTATCAGCTTACCCTGCCCACTATTGCTACTCTTTCAGTTGATTCTCCACTAAGACCTGCATTCTATGATTCTAGCTCTGTTTCAGCCTTCCATACTCATGGAGTTAGTTCATTCAAACCCAATAAAGAGTATTCTTTGGACACTGTTTTAGATTCTGCTCTTGCTTGTAATTCTGCAAATAAGATCTTACTTAATGAGCCATCTAGTAGTGTTTTACTATGGCATGCTAGATTAGGTCATCCTAGTAGTAAGATTCTAAATAATGTACTTGGAAAGTTGAATGTAAGAAAAACAAATACTGAAAATAAAGAATTTTTTTGTGAAGCATGTCAGTTTGGAAAATTAAAACAGTGTACATTTACTAAATCTGCTTCCAGGGCTAAGAAACCTTTAGAGATATTATACTCTAACTTGTGGGGTCCTGCCCCTGTTCTCTCTACTGAAGGGTATAGGTATTATGCTATATTTGTGGATGATTTTAGTAGATACACATGGATCTACCCACTGAAACTAAAGTCTGAAGTCTTTAATGTGTTTACTCAGTTTCATTGTTTTATGGAGAAGCAATTAGATGCAAAACTGAAATGCTTACAAACAGATTAGGGAGGGGAATTTCGACCATTTACTAGTTATTTAGAGAAACATGGCATCTTGTTTAGGCACCCTTGTCCATATCTTCATCAGTAAAATGGTAGAGTAGAACGCAAACATAGGACTATTACTGAGTATGGGTTGTCCCTTCTAACTCATGCAACCATGCCTCTAAAATTCTGGTGGTCAGCCTTTAGTACAGTAGTGTATCTACTCAACCGACTTCCCTTAACAGCTATTGACTTTGTATCCCCTGTTGAAGTCTTATTCCAACAAGTACCAGATTATACTGATCTAAAAGTGTTTGGTTGCTGTTGTTATCCATTTCTTAGACCTTATCAAAGGCACAAACTATTTTTTCACACTGAAAAATGTGTGTTCTTGGGTTATAGCCTTGTTCATAAAGGGTTTCGATGTATGAATTCCAATGGCAGATGTTATGTGGTTAAACAAGTTCGTTTTAATGAGACTGATTTCCCATTCAAGTCTGGCTTTCAACCTGATGTGTCTTCTCCTGCTTCACCTGAATTTTGTGAGGTTACTAAGTCCTGGATCTTGCCATCACCTTCATCCTCATCCAAACCTTCAGATTCTAAATCTGCTATTTTTACAGACATTAATCAAGAGAATGCTTCAACAGAGTCCATTCAGAACTATAGAATGTTATCTCCCCAAGCTGATACCTTATCCTCTTCTGAGAATATGCCTACAGCATCCACTTCAACACAAACCAATCCTGGAATTCAGCTAGAGGTTGTTCTTCCCATCCTAGCTAATAGCAAAAATATAAATGTTCATCCAATGGTTACCCGATCCAAGGGCTATGTTTCAACTAATATACCTCAGGCTCTTTTATCTACACATACAATACTCCATGAACCTACCTCAGTTACTGAAGCTTTAAAAACTCCATAATGGAAAACTGCTATGGAGGCTGAATATCAAGCATTGCTGAACAATCAGACTTGGAAATTAGTTCCCTATGTAGATGGTATGAACATAGTAGGTTGCAAGTGGGTGTTTAAAACCAAGTTAAACTCAGATGGCTCTCTTTCAAAATATAAAGCTAGGTTAGTAGCCAAGGGGTTTCAACAAACCCCTAGACTTGATTATTTTGAGACCTTTTCTCCAGTAGTTAAGGCAGCAACTATTAGAATTATTTTATCCTTAGCAGTGTATAATCAGTGGGAAGTGCAGCAACTAGATGTAATAATGCATTTCTCAATAGAGAATTGACTGAACAAGTTTTTATGATGCAACGAGAAGGCTTCTCTGATTTTTCTCAAATAAGGCAGGTATGTCAGTTGCAAAAAGCACTATATAGACTCAAACAAGCTCCAAGAGCTTGGTTTGAAAAGTTGAAACAGGCTCTATTAAGTTGGGGATTTCAGAATTCTATTTCTGATGTTAGTCTATTTTTCTATAAAAAGGAATCTGCTGTAGTCTATCTCTGGTGTATGTAGATGACATATTAGTTACTGGAAACAACTCTCAACTTGTTGATCAGATAGTGGCAGATTTGAATACTCAATTTGCTTTAAAGGTTCTTGGTCCTATGAGTTATTTTCTTGGATTTGAATTTAAGAGAAATGCTAAAGAGTTATTGTTCACACAAGGTAAGTATGCTCAAGATTTGCTGCTAAGGGCTGGTATGAATGAATCTAAATCCTGTATTACTCCCATGGCTACTGGTACTAGGCTGGGGAAAGAAGATAGTGATCAGTTTGATCAACCTTCACTGTATAAAAGCATTGTTGGAGGGCTGCAATATCTGACATTGTCCAGACTTGATCTTGCGTTTGTTGTGAACAAGTTAAGGCAATTTCAGTTGCAGCCCACTGTCAATCATTGGACAGCATGTAAAAGTGTTCTTAGATACGTGAAGGGAACACTGAATCATGGGTTATTATTTACTAAAAGGGAACATTTTCTACTGGAAGCTTATGCAGATGCAGATTGGGCTACTGATGTTAATGACAGGAGATCTACAAGTGGGTATGCTGTGTTTATTTGAGGAAATTTAGTTCAATGGAGTTCAAAGAAACAAAAGGTGGTTTCTCTATCATCTACTGAGGCAGAATACAGAGCCTTAAGTCGAGCTTCTACAGAACTTGTATGGATCAGGAATTTATTTAAAGAAGTTGATCTTAGTTTGAACAACTGCCCTATGCTATGGTGTGACAACATGAGTGCTGGAGCACTGTCTTCAAACCCTGTATTTCATGCTCGAACAAAGCACATCGAAATTAATGTGCATTATGTGAGAGATTTAGTTGCAAATAAGAGCTTAAGTGTGCAATACGTAGCTTCTGAGTACCAAGTGGCAGACATTTTAACCAAAGCTTTACCTGGAAATCAATTTAGTTATCTGAAGGAGAAACTCACTGTTACAGATTCCTTATCTGATTAGAATGATTGTTCAGTTTTGTTCTCTTGAAATTGTTAATTGAGAATGCAGATGTTGTGTTAAGGATTGAAGTCATGAGGATGAGTTGCTGGATTATGTGGTACTGATATCTATCAAAATGAAGCTGCTAGTGAATGGTATGAAGTTGCTGAAGTTGTGTGAACTTGAACTATGTGTGGTTCTTCTCTGCTTATATGGGAGTATGATCTGTTGAAGGAGTTATGGAATGGTATGTCTACTGATTAACATTAGGTGTTGCTGATGACTAAAGTTGTGTAAGCTTGAACTTATGAAAAATGTGTGTTGATTGATTTCTCTGAAAGTGAATACTGCTGTTGTTGGTGTTTAACTGGAGGTGAGTGGTTGATATGTTTCTGGTACTTGCTATTTTGTTTGAATGGATATTGTTGCTGTTCTGGTTTTTAATGAACTGCTAATGTTAGTTTGCCGAATGAATGTTGCTGATTGTTCTAGTTGGTGAATGAGTAAAGTTGGGCTGTTGATCATTAGTGTGTGTTCTGCTGCCGAATGAATGTTGCTGATTGTTCTGGTTGGTGAATGAGTAAAGTTGGCCTGTTGATCATTGGTGTGTATTCTGCTGCAATTTTCTGGTACAGAGTTCTGGTGTAAATATAGGTGTTGTGTAGAAATGTGTTGTGTGTAACTATGGGAAGGATTACTATGTGTGGTACAAGAATGACCTTACTATGTGTTAATTAGTGTATGTGGAGAAATGGTAGAGATGTTTTGTTTAAGGGGAAATATTAGGAAGTGTTAAGAGAAGTGTTAAGATCAAAACCAAGAGGTGTTTTGTTTAAGGGGAAATATTAGGCAAAAGAAATGTTAAGTAAAGCTAAGTATAGTAGTTTGGGTTAAAGTGTAAAGAGTAAAAGTAGACTGGGGTTTATTGTCAGGACACCAATACGGTGTGTTTTGTGCTAAGCACAATACGGCAGCGTTTTTATATCATCTTCCTGATATAAAAACGCAGCTTCCTCTTTTCTGCT